TAAAAAAAACAACATATGATTTACATTAGTTTTTTTTATCCCTGCTCTAGTTTTAAAAACCATTCATCGAAATGTATATATAAAACCTACTTTAAAACAACTAAAACATAGCTTATAGTAGATATTATAGTGAAAATACAGAAAACATCTAATTGAACAGGTAGTTATGTATCTTTCAACTCAAAGAAGAAAATAAAAATAGTTCATTCTGTGTCATCCTTACTCCACCTCCCTCCCTGTTTGGTCACCACCTTCACGTATGGGGAACATATCTGCTTTTTTCACTCCTGTGAATGCAAGTTTTCCTAACACCTGAAATGTAATAGTCTAATAGTTGTGTACACAGATAGGGCTTATCAATAAAAAGAAAAAGAAAATCACTTTCAGTAGTTAAGCCCTAGAGAATTAAACTTTGTAAAGTCAGACAATCACTATGTTCTGTATAGTGTATTACAAGTAATAATTTGAAAGAGGAACAGGATGCAAATTTATGGTTGAGCTAGAATTCAGCTCTGATATAAAAATTCACTTATAAGAAAAATAAAAATGTCAAAAGTTACATTTGTCAAAAATCTCCAGTAGTCTAACATAAAGCTGACTAGTAGTAACACATCTGAAAATGTTTTATTTAGATCTGCTGAATTTTAAAAATATCAATTTAGAAAGATCTCCAAACAGAAAATAAAACTACTACAGTCTATAGTTGTTAGCTTTTAGAAGTATATTCATATTAGCTTTTAGAAACATATTTATGTTTATGACTAATACATCTTATGATAATATTCAAGAGGACAATTTTGAATATTATTAGAACTATGAAACAAAAATATATGAGAAATATTTTACTATTTGGGAGAAAACAATGAAATCGTGTTTATTAAAATGGGTTAAACATGAGTATAATAAATACTGATACTTCAAACTTAAGGGCAAAATTTTCTGGAAATCCATTTTCGAATAAAAGAATTCCATTCATATCATTTATGCTGTTGGATAAAGATTTTGTGGATAAATTTTCACAATAGTTTATGAACCTCAACTAAAAACAAACATGTGCCAACAGATGTTGCCAGTGAGCACTTGCCACTCCACACCAAGCGTATATTTAACCTGTTCCATGCCAGTTCCCTGTTAGACTTTCTGTTCTCATCACCCGTTAATCTCACAGCCACAAATCTGAAAGGGCATCATCCATTTAGAATTTATTAATAATCTTAGACACCAATGAAAGAGGCTTTTGTAATTAGGAAAAGTCAACCATGAAGTAACAAAAAGAGCCCCTGGAAATACAATTACCGTAACAAGTACTGGCTTCATATAGGTCAAAGTAAAATAATATTGGTTATATACTGTAAGATATAGTCCTGAAATATTCATGGGGTAAGGAAAAACAAGAGAGAGTTATAATAACCACAATATTAAATCTTTATTGTCCATCAAAGGTCAAGTTTTCCCTCTGCCTTGAAGTTAGAAGAAAAGACTTAAGACTGTTCTGGGTCCTCACTATCATGCCGACCATGGAATTCATGTCTTGGGATGGGGCTTTAGGTGAGAAAAAGAATTGAAACTAGCTCCATGGGTAGCTGAACCTTCTATGCAATGAAATGGATCCCATACTAGAAGTTGTCTTAACCGAGTGACAGTATAATTACACTGACTGTATGTACTCTACCTTTTAATACACGCGTCTGTACACCAAATCTTCCAGTAAATAGTCTCCCTGATGTTCTTCAAACACAGCATGCCTTTCCTCCCTCTCTGCTTTTGTTCCAACTGTGGTGCCCACCCTGCAGGAAATCTTTCCCAGGAGTCTCTGTCCAAGCTCCAGTGCTAATACTGAATATAATATTTTCCCAGTTACACAGACACCTGTCTTCTTCACAATTCCTCTAATACTTACTTGCTCTTCTGTCTTTCTAGTACATAATCATACCCAGACTCAGAATGCGAGCAAACCATTTCTCCTAATCATAATAATGTTTACTTAATATATGTTTTGTTTGCACCAAGTACTGTGCTAAAGACAATTAACCTTTAAAGCAAGCCCATTAATCAGATTCCCCTACAAGTTTCATTTTATAGATAAAAAAATAGATTTAAATTGTACATAGGACGCAAGGCTCCTAAGAACTAGAGCCTGTACTCACATCTAAAGCTCTCTCCAAAGATCTTGTTCTTTGCCACTGTGAAATAGGACCTCATGCAAATGCCTGTTCTCAACTAGACTGTAAGCTGAGGTCAGAGAGAGTGTCTTTTACTTCTTTGAACTTCCTTGGAGTGCCTCACACTACTCAGCATACAGTTGGGCAGGTGTTAAGATCTCTGAGGGAGGGAGGCATAGAGGATGTATCTAGAATATGTTTTACAGAGGTCCTAAGATGTTCTATTAGCTCTTTATCGTATCATGTATTTTTGAAGATCCAGTCAACCAAAGGCAGAAGCCTCTAGGATTGAAATTCTTCAGAGGAAGTCAGTCTTTATCTGCAAACTGAATTACAGTCAAGGAGGCAAGCTACTTTTGAAAAACACTAGTTGCTCTTCTAATATGCACATTTCATTAATTTTACTCATCTCTTAAAATTTTTGCTGTAAACAAAATGTTATTTTATTTTATTGTTCTTTAATAATTTGGTATGTTTTGTTTCCTTTCAGTGGACTAATGTTTACAAAGAAGACAAAAGAAAAGTACCTGTCTTTCTATACTAAGCACAGTATCAAAAACTGGGGCATACACCCACATCACTCTGCAGAAAAACTGCAACAAAGAAAGAGCAAAGCTGGTGGAGGGGCTGCCACTTCCCCACATTTACAACTGTGAAGCCCCACAAAGAATTGCAGAGATACTGGGAGGGGAAAAGTCTTTTGAAAGGAATTTGAACAAAACTAACTTATTATGCTCATATATAATTAACAGGACAGTCTTTCACTTGTTTCATGGTATTCCAGAAAAGGAAAACACTCCTATCTACAAGTTCACTATTAAGTAATACAAGCATTCCAATACACAGGTTGACTGCAATCTGCATCAGGATGTTGGTAACACTGGTAATTCAACCAAGCTTTAGCTACATGGCTGAAGAGTCAGCCAAGCCATTAATGGAATTGCATTCCTACCATGGGGAGTTGAAGGAGTCCATGATTCCTAACATTACACACTTCCCCAGCACTGACTCAGGTGATTAACTATCAGCTCTTCATCAGATCAGCACTCAATCACTTAGGAAGGCAATTCTCTTGATCTCAACTCTTGCTTTACATTCCCATAAAATGCAAAGGTGCATATTGCACTACTGTCATATAATAATTTAAATGAAAAGAAAAAATCGATAATGTGTTCCATAGCATAGTTTCTTACTGGCAACTTCAACGAATCCACCATTAATTTTGGTCCCTCACCTATACACCTTAAACATAAAACACAGCTATTCTAAATATATTAAGGTTTTCTGGTCTGTTTTTTTTTAGGAGAATATAAATAGGACAAAATACGGGCTTCAAAATATCAATTTTTGATTTATACTTACACTGCTGGACCCTTCTGAGATGATAAATATACTAAACATTCTGAGGTATGGCTGTCCCACCATGTATAAATAAACTTTACAGCAGCAATACTTACAGAAAGAATTGTCAAATTGCCAATAATGTGTATAATACAGTGAGTTAGAATGCAAGCTAAAGAGAGCAAGGTAAATTATAGCGTTCTGTGAAAATAAGTGATACAAAACCAACAGCAATTTTAAATTATTAACAATGGTTCTGAAGCTAATTCAACTTTTCCATTGGTGTAAACCACAAACAGAATCACACAGTATGTTTCTCTTCAAACATCTTCAGGGTTCCTATGAGGTAGGTGAAAATGGGTAAGGGTATCTGTTAAAGGATATAATGCTAATGCCATTTAAATGCTCTATCTACAAGCCTGTGGAGTATAACCTCATTTCTCCAAAACTGTCTAACCATTATCCTCCTTGAGAAGTTAACCCATGATGAACAAAAGTACATCTCTTCCACCCTTCTGCTCCCTATTTTCCCAAACCTTTCTGCCTTGGTATTTTGTATGCTGAGCAAAACATTCCAGAAATAATGCTGTGGTACACAGGCATTAAAGTTTAGAGAGTTTCTGCCTTTGAAGTAGGTAGTGACAAGACCAAGGACACACAGGTTCAATTCCAAGCCAAATATGAGGCGGGTGGTTTGAAAATATCAATCCAAAGAGGCCTAGGGGAAAAGAACACAAGCTTCCACTGCCACCTCCCTTCCTCTCCCCTCCCCTTTTTCTCTCTTGTTCCTTTCCTCTCTTCTCTTTCGTTGTGGTTTCTCACGGAGACAATCAAAGCAGGGAAAGCTGGATTTTAAATTGGTGAGACACACGCTGGGAATATGTAATTCCCAGGAGAAAAAAAGAAACTGCTGAAGAGGGGTATGGGGGCTGTTGGCAACATGTTCAAGTGACAGCCCTCCCCACCCCCACCCTAATACAGCACAAATCCATAGATTCTTCCTCGATCCTCTTCTCCCTCCAGTTCCCAGTACTCTACCCAACTTGACCCCTCATTCTAAAAATTTAGGGACCTGCAGGACACCCGCTGTTTAAGAGTGTGTCTCTCAGTATATGAGCCCAATTTTCTGGAACCCCTGAATCCGGACAGTTGTAGCATGCAAGGGATGCTCCCACCCTCCCACCGGGGAAGAGGTTAGAAAGGGGGGAAAAGAGATGGAGACAAGAGGAAAGGGATGCAGAGCTGTGCTCTAGGGCGAGCGGCTGCAAGGAAGACGGGGAAGAAAGAAAGGGTGGGAAGGAAGTGGGGCTGGGAGAGAGGAAGAAAGGGATGAAAGAAAGGCTGGAAGGGAGAAAGGAGGGGAGAGGAGAGAGGGATGTTGGGAAGGATGAGGGAGGGAGGGTTGGGAGCGGGGAGGGGGGAGGACAGAGAGGATGGGAGGGAGGTGGGAAGGGAGGGAGGCAGGCAAGGATGGAGGATGCTCTGCCCGGGACTCACCTCTGTGGGTCGGTGGGAGTTTCTCACCTCCTCCTTTTTCTCGCCGGTTCCCAGCAGCTGGAGTGGTAATCACAGAAGGGACTGGAGAGGCGGCGGCAGGGACAAGGGCAGCAGCTGCTGCAGCCGCCTCTGGCCGAGGTGCGGTGCCGCCTGCTCTGCCCGCCCGCCCGGGTCTCCGCCTCACTCGGGGCTGGAAGCGAAGCCGCTCCCCCCTCCCCCCGCCCGCCCCGCGTCCTGCCCAAGCGCGAGCGGCAGCGGCCCGGATCGCCGCTAGGGGAGGCAGCCAGTGCGCATGCGCGGCCGCTTGCTTGCACGCGCGCCCCCTCGGTCCCCGTGGCTCCGCGGCGCCTGGAAAGGCACGGGGCAGCGCGGGGGGAGTGGCGCGGGCACGCGCGGCCTGGGGAGTGCCCGAAAGGGCGGGGCGGGGCGGAGCTCGGGAGACGCGGCCGGCTGGGCGCCGCAGGTGGGGGGAGGGGACGGCGGCGAATGGGCACTGCCGTAGGGCGCAGGTGCCGTATCTATGACAACCGCGTTACCCTGCGGGCGGGGACCAGGAGCTGAATCGCCGGAGTCGCGAGGCCCTGGGAGAGGGAACGGGTGCGGGAGCGGGCAGGATAGGGACGAGCGGAGATGGGGGTATAAGGGTGTCGCATAGTAGGAAAGGAGGGCCAGCCCCGTAAGGGTCCGACACGCGGAGGAGGAGGGCAGGGCCAGGGTGCAGCAGAGGTAGTGACTGCCGCCGGAGGGAGGTTTGTTAGGATCTGGAGTCCCGATGGGAGAGAGGAGGAGATTTGGACTTTAAAAGAACCTAGAAGAGGATGGAATTGTTAAAACAAATGGAGTATTTGCTCATTTAATAATGTTGAATATTCTTTTCCGTGTAATGCATTGTGATTCTGTTCTTGATTCAAAGGATCTTACTGAGCCTTTAGTTTGTACCAGACACTGTACTTAGGCATTTTGAGACATCCAGAAAAGTTCCTCCTCTCACAGGTTATACTCTAGTTGGGAAACGTACATAGCTGGGGCAGGGAGTGTTTGCACCGCCAGCCACTGGCGTTGGGGCTTGATAGTGCTGGAGTGTAACTGTTACAGAGGTGATAACAGTGAAAAAGGTACACAGCTACATCAAATGAGAAACATAAGTTACAGTCATCTTTGTTCTGCCACAGTGCCAAATGACAATTTTGTTTTGTTTTAAATCAAGAGAGAAAACGAAAGAAAATCTATGGAATTTTGGTATGACACAACCGACGCTGTGTTCACAACACGCTACCTGTCTGGTATCCTAGTCCACCAGCATCAGTGCGTGTGTTCATGCCAACACTTGGACGGCTTTATGTGACTTAGTGCATGCATTTTTAAAATTCTCCTTCATCAATGGCTATGCTAGCTGTTTTTCCATCCCCACTTTTGTTCCCAAGTTGGCTTCTGCAATGGTTTGAAAATTACGTCAAACTCAAGTATCTTTTATTCTCTCCAGGGAATGACTGGAAAGGGATACCTCTGTCCAACCGCTATCTTTCTCTCCCAGCACTTTTTTGACTTTATTTTTTCTTGTCCCCATCTCTTTACCAATTTAAAAATTCCAGGAAAATGTCAACAGGAGTCAGCGGACATTGACTTAAGAGGAATCTTAGCACGCAAGCATGTTTCAGGACCACGGACAGTGACACTGGGTGCTCTCACCACCAAGCGTTTTTCTTAGACTGCCTATAGAAACAGGCGAAACACCCTAAAGGTACATGATGTGCTTCATGAAGCAAGTATCAAGATCCAAATGACTTGTGCCAAAAGATATAAGGAGTGGAAAAAGAAAAGGGCACACTATGGACTGGAGTAGGTAGGAGGTAGGCCTTCAGCTAAATTTTGAAGAGTAAGATTTACAGAGGCATCACAAGTCCCTGATGTGGTAAGACATGTATAGCTTAGCCAGCAAAGTACTGAAATAAAAAGAGATACTCCATAAAGTATTATTCCGGAGGAAGAAGACACCTCTGAATTTGAATGGTCCAAGAATGTGGAAAGAGTTAAGTCATCCCAGTCAAATGAGGTAGGGCATGCAGGCAAAAATTGACATTTTTGTAATTATTGAGATTTTTTTCATACTCTGGTCAGGCTGGAGGGAATAAACTAAAAGATACAGGCCAAAGAGTGGCCAGACAAATTCATCTCTTGAAGTTCTGAGGATTCATGTATACTTTTTTGTATTGTTGTAATTAGGCTTACATTTATATTTATTTGTTTTAATTACAATTAAATAATGTAGACCAAACAAGAAAATAATAATATAAACCAAGTGCTGTCTAGTCAAAATGAGATTTGCCTTTATTTTGTTTTGCAGTGACTTTCAAAACTATAAAATATTATTGAGAGATATTTAAAAGGCATTTGTAAAATATAAGCTTTAGTCCATGCAATTGCATTAAATTAGAGTTAATAAAAGAAATAACAGAATAAAAGCAATCTTTGATTTCTCAGACTCACGGTCTCCCTCACTTCTCCTTCAAAATACATCAAACTGTGGTCTGCCGATCAGATAGTGATAAGAAATTACTCAGGCAATGCATTTCAGTCACCAGCAGGCAAATGGCAGTGGAAATTTTTGTTCCCTGCCGCCAAGGAATTTACTAACTCTTTTATGTTTTGAATAAAGAGTAACCCTCAACCCTGTCTATCCTATGGAAAATTCAAATTAAATATTACTTTAGCCATATTTATTTCCCTCTGATAACAGTCTAAAATGGCTATCACTGGATGCTAAAATGCTATCATTTTATTTGTCCCCATTCTCAAGTAAGGGGATTTTTTTAACCCTTATTTCCTTCCTTTTGAGTCTGCTTATAAATCTGGTTTTTTTTTCTCTTGATTTAAATGTTGTCTTTCATTTCAATGACAGAAACATATACAGCCTTCAGAAAAATAAGCAATTTTCTTCCTTTCCTCACTTATATTAAAAATGTATGCCAACATAAATAAAAAGAGCATTGTTAAGTGTATGGCATTGTGTTCAAATGAAGAAAATGCTATATGTAATCATAATACAATTTAACATGCAATCAAATGACATCTAGGTTTTTAGGGCACACCAAACCAATACTGGCATCTTAAGTAAAATTATCTGCAGTGCTTATACATTTAAATGTCAGGTCTCTACACACTAAGACTCTAATTCAGTCTGTCAGCTCCAGAAATTTTGCTATCTAACCCTTCTGAGCAATTTCATTTTTTAATAGGCTTTATTTTTTAGAGCAGTTTTAGGTTCACAGAAAAATGGAGTGAGAAGTACAGAGAGTTTTCATATACCTCCGGCCCCTACACGGGAACAACCCCCCACCATCAATCCCTGGACCACAGTAGCATGTTTTTTACAATTGATGAACCTGTATTGACACATCATTATCACCAAAATCCACAGTTTACATGAGAGTTTGCTCTTGGTTTTATACATTTTAGGGGTTTTGAAAGAAGTATAATGTCATGTATCCACCACTATGGTATCATACTAGTTTTACTCACTAAAAATACTCTGTGTTCTGTCTATTCTTCTCTTCCTTGTTCCTAATTCCTGGAAACATTAGTATTTTTCCTGTCTTCATGGTTTTGTCTTCTCCAGAATGTCACAGAGTTGGAGTCATACAATAAGTAGCCTTTTCAGATGGGCTTCTTTCACTTAGTAATATGCAAATAAGATTACACCATATATTTTCATGGCTTGATAGCTCTGTTTTTAGCACCAGATAATATTCAGTTGTCTCAATGTACCAAAATTTATCCACTCACCTACAGAAGGTCATCTAGCTTCTGTAGGTGAATGGATAGGTTTTGCCAATTGTAAATAAAGCTGCTATAGAAATTTTATCTTTTAAGAACCTCCTAAATATTTCAGACCCTGTCATTATATTTATTATGTATCAATTGAACCCCAGGATTTCTCCTCATATGGCCCAGCTTTTTCCTACAAATCTAGCTGTAGGTTTCTTCTCTTGTCTGAGAAACAACCAATGAAACTTTTACTTTTGTCATTTTATGTATTCCTTTTACTATTAAAAAATTAAAATTACTTGTTTTAAGTTTTTTGTTTTCTACCAGTAGTTTCTAATTCTAATTTTTTCAAAAATATATATCATTTGTATCCCTAGGTAATTGTTTCTATATACTATTATGGTGAATATATGTATATGTTTTCAAGTAAACCAAATGTGTATTTTAGAATCCACGTGTGTAATTGTTTTTGTTTTGCATGTTGAAACATTTTAACTGTAACCTTGTATAGGTAAAATGTACCATATTTTAGTTTGTGACATTAGGCAAGTTTTTTAATGTCTATGAGGCTTAGTTTGCCAGTCTGTAAAATGGAGGCAATTTTTATCCATCTTTATGACTTTCTTGTGAGAATTAAATGAAATGATACTAGATATGCTTTTTAGCACATTGTCATCCATAGAGTTGTGTACTTGCTTGAATTAATACTTTAAATATCAATGAGTAAATTAATCAAACATTCAAATAATATTATTCCTCAGTGACTTTTGACCAGTTTGAATCTGTTTCTATAATCTTTTATTTCCAATTAATCTTTTTCCCTAAAAAATAACAAATAAGCTTTAATATGTCTTCTCATAGTAATTGTGTCACTCTCATCTTCAGGTTCCCTAAGAAATACACTTTCCCTTTAAGAGAAAGCTGAGGCTGCTGTTACATACATTTTGAAATTGTGTCATTTTACTCTCAATTGTCACCCTGGAGCACCTTTTCCCGATATCTGCTTTATGGAAGAATAGTTCCAATCTTAATTCTTTCAATAGCAAATGACAGAAGTCCAATTTAAGTTAATTTGAGCAAAAGGGAAATTTTGGCTCACACATATGGGAAGTCTAAGTTTTGTGTATATGAGGATATGTTAGTCCATTGGGTCATCAAAATTATTAATCATGGCAAAGGATCTGATTACACTTACTGGGGCCTTGTGTTTGTATTTGTGTCACAGATTACTGTGATCAGAGAAATAGCACACCCTGGTTCATGTGTTCACTCCTGTGACCTCATGAAGGAAGAGGAGAAATTCCTGAAAAGATGTTGAGGAAGGACATGGGAAAGTAAGTATACTGCACAAACAAAAATTACAGCTGC